AAGAAAGAGTAAAAATCAGAAACAACAGAAACAGGTAACACACAACTATACATATCTTATATTTTTTAAAAACAAGAATAGCTGATTAACAATGGTTGTCATATGATTTGTTTTTATTGTCAAATCTGTTGCTCAAATTAATAGGTATTGTTATGCAAGAATGGATATATGGTTGAATATTACCCCTTGATTTCAAGAAATCAAATTTTTGTTCTTGATTCTCTTTTTTTTTTATTACGCTTTTTCTTAAAAGAAAAAAAGTTTATTTTAGAACAACCAGACAGCTCAGTGGACCAAAGCACCTGTTTGGGCAGGAACAGGGACCAGGGTTTGAACCACAGTGTGCAAAGCCAGCCATGGCCCCGGGGTATTCTGAGAAGGCTATTGAGACTGGGTGTAGTGGTGTGCACCTGTAATCCCAGAGGTAAAGAGCTGAAAATAGGAGAATCACTACTAGTCCAATCTTTGTAGTGAGACCCTGTAAACCCTGTACTAAATGCATGATAAAAATTATTTCAAAAATAGAATAGTAATAATTGATATGACATTAGAAATGGTACACATTTAGAAGTCCAAGATGACAGGTATTCAAACATGGCTTTTGTATGACATATTGCTGTTTTCAATGTAGTTGTTCAGTTCCCAGGTATCAGCATACAGAGTTAGTCACAGTGAACATTCTATAAATTTACTTCTATTTTAAAAAAACTGATGGAAATTCTTAGTATAATCACCTCAGCTATCCAGTATGTACACTTTTATGCTTTCTCTCCCTATCTTTTTTCCCATCTTTTTTCCTTTCTCTCCTCTTCATTGTTTAATTCTTATATTCCATTAATTTCTGTTTTACTGTATGTATTATACAGTTCAGGTTTTAGATCCTCTTTCAGGTTCTTACACTGGTTTCTTACACTTGGGAGACAATACGATCTTTACATGTTTGGATCTGTTTTATTTCACTCATGAAAATGGCCTCTAGTTGCATCCAGTTACACACAAAGGCCTAAAGTTTGTCCTTTATAGCTGAGTAATACTCTATTGTACAAAAACACTGCATGTTTTTCATCCATTCTTCAGGTGATCGGCATTTTGTTGCTTCCAAAGTATGGCTATGATAAATTGAGTTGCTATAGACATGGGTGCACTTATATCACGACGGTGTAATATTTTCTTTTCTTTTGGGAAAATAACCAGAAGGGAAATAGCTGC